GTGTTGGGGGAGACGGGGTGGGAAGGTGCCATGGTGGTGGTGGAGGTGGGTGGTCTGTAGCAGGCACAAAGAAGGGGTGGGGAGAGACTTGGCACATTATTTTAAAGACTATTTTAAAGGTGAAGCTGTGGTTAAGTCTTTTTTTAATTATTCTTTTTCATGGATAATCTGATAAATAAATCAAATAAATATATTTAGTCTGTAATATTTTAATGCAAAGAAAAGATAATAAATTTAATAAGTGTGAAGAACTGATTTCTGATCAGACACTGCAAAAATGAGGCTTCTAAAAATAAGTTAAAAATAGTAGATTAGACACTTGTTCTTTTCAAATTAATAATAATTAATGATCTGCAGTTTGACAGTTGCACTTGGTAAGACTTATTGAAGTAAAAAAAACAAAACTTTTCAAGTTAACAAGATTAGTATTCCAGCATATTCTGATCTTGTTTAGTATATGGGCCTAAAAACAACATCAAAAATACTTTTTAACTGATATACAGTAAGCCTGTAAAACTTGGTTAGATGACAGTTTTTGCAGTAAAGTGACTTCTACTGCTTAGAAACATTAACAGATTAAATTAGCTTCACTTTGAACCTGGTAGGGACCAGGGGTCAGATTTATAAAACTGGCGTATGCACAATAGGAGCCCAGAAACCTGCGTACGCCACTTTTTACGCCAAGGTTGTGATTTATAAAATCCAAACTTGATGTGAAAATGTGCAGTGCCTCACACCAGCTCTGACCCATGCGTACGCTCATTTTGGAGACGTGAAACTGTGACACAGATGGTGAAGTGAAGTATTATAGCCATGCTGTGTCATGACCACTGTCAGATATTTAATTTACCTTCATCAGACTTAGATTTTTATTCAACTTTATCATCAGCTTTCATAACAGTAATATTTATGCTTCTGCTGCTGAGCCATGAGGACCTTTAAAATAAAAAAAAATACTTAAATCTTAAATAAAAGTTCCTGTGCGCAACTCCATTCATCTGCTTCCACCTCAGACGACCCTGACCCACAGACCCCTCCCTGACCCACAGACCCCTCCCCAATAAGAACAGCAGGACAGCAAAAGTCATACTTTGGATACACACGCAGGGCGCATCCACCTCATCAGTGTGGATGTTATAAACCTTCACATTTAAAGTCTGTATTTGTCGCGCGGTGGTGGGGATGCGTGCGTGTGTGTGTGTGTG